TCAACAGCTTGGGCATGTTTCAATCAAACTAAGTAATTTTTAATTGTTGTTTGTAATAATACTTTTGACGTGACCTCAACCTCACAGGGTAATCATACAGAAATATAGTTTCAATCATCTTAATTTGTCAGTTGAAGTTAATAATATCGCGAAGTCAATGAATGAAATCTCAATTTTCACATTTTACGGAAATGAGACTGAAGATAACATGACAAAAACTTACTTGAAAGATACTGTAAAACTGGATGTCAACAGAGATCTCGCACTATGCGATTCAACGAAATCGCTGATTTTCCTGATTCAGTAAACGTTGATTCACAATTTTATCATATTAAAAAAATAGTAGTAAAAAAAGAAACATAATACTGATATTTTCCCTCTTTGAATTAATCAAGTCGCGGTCGTCCTGCATGAAAGGACGCGCAGTGTCGACTGTATGGAGGCAGAATGGGAGCCCGTTTCTTACAGGCCCTCGGGTACGTCATTCCACGCAGAGACCTGAAGGTGGCGCAACTTTATAGCGTTAGTCATATACTAGGTTTGGGGAATAACGCGGGGAACCGAATGTATCCAGATACGCGAAAACTGATTACCGGTATGGTTACCATGTCTATTTATTTGTATTTTAAAATATGGCAGAAGGGTGTCATGTCATAATTAAAATAAAATAAAATATTCACAAGTTTTATAGAGTATAAAAATTAAAATTAAAACAAGGTGAACCTTAGACAACGTTTTATGAGTAGCTGATAAAGTCATTTTATCCTAATTATTAGATAAAATTATGTGTCTATATTATAAATGTGTTTTGATTTCTATTACGTGAATTACACACACGTATATATATGTATATGTATGATATATATTTCACCTACTAGACTAACAACGCCACACAGCTTTGATAAAAAAAAAATCATAGCACCTTCATTATTAAAATATTCAGAATTAAAATATAATGGTTATGGGTATTCTATACATATTTGTTGCATGTAGGGAGTCCATGTCTTATTTCACGGAACGCCACCTACATCTTAGGTTTTGTAGGTGGAGTTGACTCGTGAATTGATAAAGCGTAACTTTCTTGGAACGTTTAGTGAATTGTATGTGCGGTGTTATTGAAGATATATATATATATCCACACCATAAGGAAAAAAATGAACATTTTATAATTTCATATTCCAAATCACACTCAGCCGTCAAAATTAAATTCGTTAATCCTTGAGAAAGAAACACTGAATGTATTAAATGCGAATGATCGGCTCTTGTGTATTATCTAAAATTTAATAAATAATTAAGATCAACGTTATATATTTACACAATTTTAAAAACTTGATTGAACCCGTCAATGGCCTTTACTTTAAAACAGGATTAACAGGTGAATTATTCAAAACTTTTATCCAAGCTTTAAACCTATAAATATGATTAAAGAAATATTGGGGGGATACTAAGGATAAAATATAATAAGAACATAAAACTGGATTTTACAAAATAGAATGCGAATTTAGTCGTATTTATATTGGTTAAACTAAAAAGAATTTAAAATACAGATCACATGAACACAAAGGTTGCGTAAGAAATAATAAAATAGAAAACACGGCTGTTGCAGAACATGTAAAAAACAATACAACACAACATTTTATGGGTAAAACCTACAATTTTAGCTCAACCTCGTAATATCACAGCTTTAAATGTCAGAGAATCAGTAGAAATAATAAAATTTTAATTAGAAAAAAAGAATCAAGCAGAGGTGAATGACCATTAATTCAAAGTATTGATATCTCGCGGATTGACTAAGAAATTGTGTAAATACAAAAGCAATGTATTATCACGTGGCAGGAAAAAAAAACAGAAAAATTTATATGTCTTGCAGATAACTGCTGAAGATGACGTTGAAACGTTGTACATGTAGAGTGTACTTTCTAAGAAGAATCGAAACGTTGTACATGTAGAGTGTACTTTTAAAGAAGAATCGAAACGTTGTACATGTAGAGTGTATTTTCTAAGAAGAATTGAAAAGTTGTACATGTAGAGTGTATTTTCAAAGAAGAATCGAAACGCTGTACATGCAGAGTGTATTTTCAAAGAAGAATTGAAAAGTTGTACATGTAGAGTGTATTTTTAAAGTAGAATCGAAACGCTGTACATGCAGAGTGTATTTTCAAAGAAGAATCGAAACGTTGTACATGTAGAGTGTATTTTCTAAGAAGAATCGAAACGTTGAACATGTAGAGTGTACTTTTAAAGTATAATCGAAACGTTGTACATGTAGAGTGTATTTTTAAAGTAGAATCAAAACGTTGTACATGTAGAGTGTATTTTTAAAGTAGAATCAAAACGTTGTACATGTAGAGTGTATTTTCTAAGAAGAATCAAAACGTTGTACATGTAGAGTGTATTTTCTAAGAAGAATCAAAACGTTGTACATGTAGAGTGTATTTTCTAAGAAGAATCAAAACGTTGTACATGTAGAGTGTATTTTCTAAGAAGAATCAAAACGTTGTACATGTAGAGTGTACATTTAAAGTAGAATCAAAACGTTGTACATGCAAAATTTATTTTTAAAGTGGAACCCGTTGACGTCTTCAATCAAATTGTGTAAATATGAAACGTTGATTTTAATTATTTATTAAATTGAATGTATTACTTAGACAACTGAGACGACTTATTACTTTGCTGTATTTTTCTAGAAAGAACAAATACGAATTGAATGAACGATTATTCGTCCTCACGATATACACAGGGAAACAACACTGGAATGAAATCCTTTTGCGATTCGTTAATCTTTATCGACAAATTTCAAAACAGTTTTGCGGACCATGATGGAGCCATTTTTTTACAGCTATAAAGTGTTTGTGTAATGTCATTACTTTTTAAGCAATAATTCGTGATAATGAAATTTAGATCAAATTCAATCATTTCAAGATCAAAGACACCACTTGATTCACCTACCAGTAACATCCAACGACCGGAGTTTTATTGAAATATTCGACCTATATTCCTATAGATTGTTTGTTTGTTTTAAATTTCGCGCAAAGCTACACGAGGGCGTTCTGCGTTAGCCGTCCCTAATTTAGCAGTGTAAGACTAGATGGAAGGCAGCTAGTCATCACCACCCACCGTCAACTCTTGGGCTACTCTTTTACCAATGAATAGTGGGATTGCCCATAACATTATAACGCTGTAAGACTAGAGGAAAGGCAGCTAGTCATCACCACCCACCGCCAACTTTTGGGCTACTCTTTTACCAATGAATAGTGGGATTGACCATAACATTATAACGCCCCCCACGGCTGAAAGGGCGAGCATGTTTGGTGTGATGGGGATTCGAACCCGCGACCCGCAGATTCCTATAGAGAGATTTGACTCTTTAGTTTGACAAACACTAGAAAGGGAGTGAGTAATTGGACCCAGACATATTTTAGGTAGGTGCAAATAAAATCTAATAAAATGTAAAGTTTATGCTTTAAGCTCGAACCAGGAAATAAATATGTAAATATTTTATGGAGTATTTGAAATTTTAAGCACAACAATAGATTCAAGAATTTCTTAGAAATAATTCGTGACGGTTACCACACCTCTCATGACGTCATGTGTTAAGAATATCCATAAAACAATACAGCTCGAGGATAAAGTTAGATAGTTGTAGGACAACTTAAAACATAGTTAATGTTTTGATTTTCTGAGCAACAATCTTTGATTTGTTTAATATACAGTTGTATGTTCCAAAATATTCTTCCGGTTTATTAAATAATATTATTTACAACAACTATTTCCCAAGAAGCAACCAGTAGAGTTGGCGTATCCGAATCATAAGAAGCTAGAAAAAAATTACAAATCGAGAGTAATGCAAAAATATTTTCAGACTTAAAATTGCAACGCCATAAACATCTGTTGTTTGTGGATCTAGAGATCTTGAACATTGTAAAGGCGTGTATGAAATTGAAATTTCAAGCAAGGTGTTTTATTCATTTTTACAAAACTTTTTTATTGTAGTATTCTTTAAAGGATGAAGACGTTTTTTAGAAATTCATTTAAAATACTAGAACTGAGGAAATTAATTACGAATATAGTGAACATAAATTTTTTTCAATAATTTGTAGATTTTCAGTGAACTTTGAAGTACTCAGATAAGGAAAAAAACACATTTACTACAAACAATCAGAAAAGAATTTTAGTGCTTAAATAAGCATTTGAATATTAGATTTCGCTTGCCATTCAGTGGCTCAGCAGTAAATCTGCAGACTTATGACGTTTAAAACCGGGTTTCAATACCTGTGGTAGGCAAAGTACAGATGACCTACTGTGTAGCTCTGGGCTTAACAACAACCAAACCAAAGACTGCTCCTTGTTGTAAAACACCACATTCATTGATAGATATAATTAGCTTGCAAAAACTCGGTTATTTTATTATCTCCTATTGCAAATCATATCACTTTCATAGATGTGTTTACTTGGAACACTGGATTATCGTTTATACTGTTTAGCCTACACGTGATATGTACATAACGTAATGAAACCCGCCAACAAAGAAATCAAGTTAAACTTGAAACTCAAGAACCACAACAAACTTTACTATACCTCCCTATCGTTACTAAGTCAATATCCATTTATAAACATAGTTTGACCATACCTTTCTATCATTACTAAATCAATATCCATTTATTAACACAAGTTGACCATACCTCCCTATCATTACTAAATCAATATCCATTTATAAACACAAGTTGACCATACCTCCCTATCATTACTAAATCAATATCCATTTATAAACACAAGTTTACCATACCTCCCTATCGTTACTAAATCAATATCCATTTATTAACACAAGTTGACCATACCTCCCTATCATTACTAAATCAATATCCATTTATAAACACAAGTTGACCATACCTCCCTATCATTACTAAATCAATATCCATTTATTAACACAAGTTGACCATACCTCCCTATCATTACTAAATCAATATCCATTTATGAACAGATATATGCCATATGTTTCCATCATTACTAATTCTAGATCTCTATAAATCATACCGCTAGTTCAATGCAAACATCGTTAACAATTAATTTCATATTGTAAAAACGAATCTTCATTTGTTACAGATATACAGAAATTTAAATTACAAAGCTTTTTTCTAGCTCTCTTTTTCCAGCTTTATGTATTACTAAAATAAATGACAATAAATTTATGCGTGGAATACAACATGTGTTTCTCATAATAGTTTAAACGAACTTTACGTTAATTCAGTGAAAATATTTAATTCAAACGTAAATTATTCGATTTTGAACAATGATGTTCATGTTTGGAGGGCTATTTATTCTGTATAATTAATGTATTTACTAATTCCCAAGCGTAATATGAAGAAAATATTCATAATTCTTAAGAAGAAAAACAAGTCATGATCAAGCAAAATAAA